GGGGGCACAACGCGCGTTGAGGACCCTGCGGCGCCAGAGCGCCGCTCTGCGGCGCCCCAGCTTTCCGCGGCCCCCGAGCGCGCCGAGTCGCAGGCGCTCCGGGAACTCCGTGTGCGCCGGGCCTGCGGGCGGGCGCAGCTCCAGGTCCTGGGGCGAGGATGCCTCCTCCTCCTCGTCCTCCTCCCTCCTCCTCCTCTGCTCCTCCTCCCTCCTCCGTCTTCCTGCTCCTCCTACCTCCTCCTCTCTCCTCCTCCCCTCCTCTTTTTTCCTCCTCATTCCCTCCCCCATCCGCCCTCCCTCCTCCCCTCCCCCCACTCCTCCCCTCCCCCTCCTCCCCCCTCCTCCCCCCTCCTCCCTCCTCCCTCCTCCCTCCTTCTCCCTCCTCCCTCCTCCCTCCTCCTCCCTCCTACTCCCTCAGAGAGAGCGAGCGCGCGCAAAGTGGCGAATTTCCGATCATCATCCAGCTTCGTTGTCGCATCTGGCCAGCTCATGGCACCTTTTATCGCACCTGCGCGGGGCACACGGCCGACTCCAGAGGTCGGCAGCTCCCACACGCCAGAGGGGATGGCGCCAGGGGGAGCAGGGCTGCCTGCTGCGAAGGCGGGGGGGGGGCTTGCGAGAAGGCCTCCGGGCTTCCATGGGGCCTTCTTGGAAGCACGCGGGCGCTTCCGAGAATGCCCAGGTGCGGTAAAACACTGCGATTGAAAGTACAAGTTATCAATTGCTTTGTATCACACTTGAGCCTTCCAACAGCAACTGTGATAAGCATACATTCTTTATCACGGCTTTTCCTGTCACACTTGAGCCTTCTGAGAACCTCCACGCCCTTCTAGCAGGCCGCCACCCTCGCCCCACCCCCTTCGCGCTCGCCGCCAGGCTGGTCCCGTGGCCGACTCCAGAAGCAGTGGGGGAGGAGGAGGAGGAGGAGGAGGAGGAAGAGGAAGAGGAGGAGGAGGAAGAGGAGGAGGAGGAGGAGGCGGAGGAGGAGGAAGAGGAGGAGGAGGAGGAGGAGGGGGAGGAGAAGGACGTTAACATGCCGACGTTTCGCTTTTGTGCCCGCCGCCCTCCGCTGGTCCCGAGCCGGCACCTGCCGCCGCTTTGCGTCCGCTGGCTTCCGCCGGGGGGCGGGCGTGTCGAAGGCGATGCCCCTTCTGGATCGCCCCACACGACACTCCTGTCCCTCACCTCTGGCCAGCATGCAGCCGGCCCTCCGACGCATGGTGCACGGCTGGCGTTTTCAGACCTTTCGCCCCCCCTCTCACCCTCCTCACCCCTGCCTCTTCCTCCTCATCCTCCTCCTCCTCGGATTCATCTAATCCCACCAGCCCTCTGGGCGTAGGTGGTCTATGGAGCTTTCTTTTCCAACCCCCTTCTTCCCCTTCGGGGAGGGGTTTACCGCTCCCCCTTGCAACCTTCCCTGAACTTGGACGGGGGTGGTCGCGGGTAGTTGGAGCGTCCAAGATGGCCCAAGATGGCTCCAATAGGGCCTCAGAAGAGTGCAAGATGGCCTCCACGATCGCTCCAGATAGCGCAAGATCGCTCAAGATGGCTTCCAAGATGGTCCAAGAGGCCCCAAGACCGCCTCAAGACGGCTCCAAGTGCCCAAAGAGCTCCCCGATGAGGCCCCCAGGAGACCAACATCTTTCCGACACCTAAGGACAAATCAATGTTTTTGGTTTTCTCGCCTTTTCGCTTCCGATGGACATTCGAGGCCTGAAGATGGCTCCAATATGGCCCATGAGGGCCCCACGAGGGCCCCAAGAGAGCCCCAAGACGGCCCCAGGAGCTCCCAAGAGCGCTCCAAGAGCGCCCCAAGAGGCGGTCTTAGGCACTCTAGAAGGGCAAGTCTACTTGAAGCTCCCCTCTTTTTGTATCGATGTCTTTCAAGTCAGCTTCAAGAGCGCCCCTAAACCTCCAGAGAGCGCCCCCAGAGGGTCCCAAGAGGGCCCAGACGGCTCCAAGAGGCGCCCGAAGGAAAGGGCCTCCAAGGGGCTCCCAAGAGACCCTCAAGAGGCCTCAAGAGGATCCCCGAGGCACGCACGACGCTCAAAGGCGGCCCTGGGCCCGCCAAGATGCCCCCCCAGACGCCCCGAGAGGCCTCCAAAAAGCTTCCAGGCGACATCCGAGGAGACTCCGAGAGGCATTCAATAGGCTTCTGGCTCTTCTACTCGCCCTTTTCCTCCTCCTCCTTCTCCTTCTCTTCCTCTTCCTCTTTCTCCTCCTCCGATTCCTCCTCCTTCAGGACGGTTTCCCCATCCCTGCGTTCCTCTGTATGCTTCCCCACTTCCTGGATCATGATGATACCAAAGAAAAAACCCAATCATAATCCTTTCAATGATATAGGGCTATGGGGCTAAACGGCTATAGGGCTATAAGGCTATAGTGCTATAGGGCTATAGGGCTAGAGAGCTATAGGGCTATAGGGTTATAAGGGTATAAAGCTATGGGGCTATTAGGGCTATAGGGTTATAAAGCTATTGGGGCTATAGGGCTAGAGGGCTATAGGGCTATAAGGCTCTAGGGTTATAAGGCTATAGGGCTACCGGGCGGGCACCTGGGCACCCCCGGGCACGCCTAGGCACCCGGGCACCCGGGCACCTCCAGGCACGCCTGGGCACCCGGACACACGGGCAACCGGTTTGCCGCGAAAATCGGCGGCAAACCTAACCTAACCATATGAATCCGCTAGGACCCCTACAGAGGCAAGCTCTGATTGGGGAACAACTCGTCTGGGCATCGTCTCTGGATGGGCTGCCCTTCTCCTTCTCCTCCTCATCCGCCCATTCCACTGCATGCTGGTGGGCTTACACGAAGCGTCTATTTTTTTCCCGTTCGCAAGGTCGCCCGACCCCTTGACCAGCTGCGCGGCCCCCTTTGCGCGAAGGCCTTCTGGCGCAAACAAGCGCCACTCACACTCGTCGCGAATCCACAGCACCACTGCTGACCTTGCAGGCATCCGTTGTCTTGAGTTGCTCAGTACGGGCCCCCGGAAATCCCAATCCTTTCCCTCGGCGGGCCGGTGCCTCACCAAGAATCAGATTTTTCGGTCACGGAGCCCGGAAACGGCCCAGGAGTAGGGGGCCACATGTGAAACCTACCCCTACCCCTACCCCTACCCCTACCCCCCACGATTTGGAGGGGGAGTGAACCCCACCCTCCCCTCAAAAATCGTGGGGGGTAGGGGTAGGGTGCACATGTGGCCCCCTAAGGAGGCCGAACACAGCGAGAACGCTCGAGGGGAAGCTGCACTGTTCCACGATCCTGCGCTGGGGGTGCCTTCACGCCGAGGCTTGTATTGTTCGACTGTCTTCCGTCCACCTCAGGTGGAGGACCTCAGGTGGAGGAGGAGGAGGAGGAGGATGAGGAGGAGGAGGAGGGGGAGGAGGAGGAGGAGGAGGAGGAGGAGGAGGAGGAGGAGGAGGAGGAGGGGAGGAGGAGGAGGAGGGTGAGGAGGAGGGGGGGAGGAGGAGGAGGAGGAGGAGGAGGAGGAGGAGGAGGAGGAGGAGGAGTAGGAGGAGGAGGAGGGGGAGGACGAGGAGGAGGTGGAGGAGCAGGAGGAGGAGGAGGAGGAGGAGGAGGAGGAGGAGGAGGAGGAGGAGGAGATGGAGGAGGAGGAGGAGGAAGAGGAGGAGGAGGAGGTGGCGATCTCCCAGTGGTGCCTTCTCCTTGGCACTGCCTGGTGTGAAGCTCGCGAGGTCAAAAGATCGCCTCTGGGAGCCACATTCCCCCCCCGACCCATCAGGGGGCGCGCTCTTACTGTAGCCAGGACTTCGATGGAAAACTCGGACGCGGTCACGAGAAGCCTCCAGGAAGTCCCAAAAAGGTCCCCAAACGCGCCCGAAGACCTAAACCGGATAGCCCCGATACCTGGAAGCCTCAATACTGCAAGCTCGTGGGCATTGCCTGAGTCCTGGGGCACGAACGGGTTGGCCCTCGGGGTCCCCCAGATGCCGTGCACATCGAAGGGGGAAGTGAAAGAGGAGGAGGAGAGGGATGACGAGGAGGGAGAGGAGTCATTCCCCCTTCATGCCTGGAACACGGGTGAACCTCGGAAGAAATTCGTGCCCTGTCAGTTGTTCCCTGCCCTCGATCTCGACTCTATTTCGCAAGCTAGCTGGAGATCGCTCATTCTTCGGCGATAGCCCCGGGTTATCCGCTGGGGGGGGGGGAAGCCGACAACCTGACCTCTACGCTCCGCGCATGCCCCCGCGCAATGCCCGCGCGCACCCACTCCTGCGCGCGTGCCCCCCCTCGGGGACCTGCGCGGGCAGGGGGAGGGGGCGGGCGGGCCCGAGAACCCAGTTGGTCGCCGGACCCCTAGGAAGGAGGTCGGGCAGGTCCTCCTGCAGGCAGATTCTGGAGGGAGAGTGAGCAGAAGTCAATACATACTCCAAAACGTATACAGCAAATGCTCCAAACGTCGTCCCCATACAATTGCTTCTAGTTGGCTTGCACGGTGTTTGCGTATTCCTCCTGTAGAGGGACGTGCGGCCACGAAGGGGGCCTCGCCTCCTGCCTGACCAGGTGATGCATGATGCCTCCTCCCCCCCCTTCTCGTCCTCCTCGTCCTCGTCCTCGTCCCCTCCTCCGCCTCCTCCTCGTCCTCCTCGTCCTCGTCCTCCTCCTCCTCCTCCTCGTCCTCCTCCTCCCCCTCCTCCTCCTCCTCGTCCTCCTCCTCCTCGTCCTCGTCCTCGTCCTCCTCCTCCTCCTCAGAAGCGCGGTCTTCTGGCGCTGCCCGAAGTCCTGGGGCACGAACGGGTTGGCCCTGGGCAGCGCGAGCCCGGGGACCACGCGCGCGGCCCCCCAGCGTACGGCCAGGTCGGCATCTAGCGGCTGGTCGGAGTACTTGGTGCCGTACCACCGCTCCGCGCTCGTGCAACGCTGCGCGTGCGCCTCTAGGGCCCCGTTTTGTTGTTGCTGTTGCTGCTGCTGACGTTGAATTCTCATTTCTAAAGAATCATTATTGTTGATCCCCCCAACCGGTGCATACTGCTTTTTCTCAATCATTGTGTGCCCCTCGACGCTCGCACCCTGTTTTTTGACAGGGAAAGTCTTCCTGCTCAAACTGGGCCCCTGGCCCCTGGGTTACAACAACAACGGCTCCCGCCTGAGACTTCCTTACCATCTAGCCAGGAACCCCGCTCCCGCCCGAGACTTCCTCGCATTATATTCAGGAGTCGCGCTCTCGCTTTGGACTTCCTCATAATTTATTCAGGAATCGCTCTCCCGGCGTCTGGAGTCGCGCTCTCGCTGGAGGTTTGCTTGCAACTTACTGATTTCGAATAATGGCCTTGCGCCGCGCTCCCGACACCCAGGCACCCAGGAGTCGCGCCCGTTGTGGCCCCATGTGCATGCCCTTCGTGGCCCCGCTGTCGCCATTTGTGTCCCCCTCATTGTCCTACGTGGCCCAGTTGCTACCGTCAATGGCCCCGTAGTTGCCTTCTGTGGCCCCGCATTATATGCACTTCGTGGCCCCCGCTCGTTCGCGCTCTTCGTGGCCCCATACGCATTCCCTTCGTGTCCCCGCTGTCGCCCTTCGTGGCCTACTTCGTGCCTTTCGTGGCCCTGCTGTCGTTCTCTCTCGCTCTCGCTTTCGCTCGTCGTCGCCGTCGTCGTCGTCGTCCGTCGTCGTCGACGTCGTCGTCGTCGTCGTCGTCGTCGTCGTGGTCGGTCCCCTGTCCGTCCCTCTTGGGGTCGGGTCGACGGTCCGCGGCCGCCCCGCCGATCAGCGCTGCCGCTGGCCAGGCCGACGGTCCGCGGCCGCCCCGCCGCTTGCGGGGGCCCGGCCTGCAGGGAAGAAAAACGAAGACGAAGAGGGCGGGTATGGAGGGTTTGGTAAATACGCATTCTTGGACATTCGAGCATATAAGGGCGAACAGTCTTAAACTTATTGTTGCTGTTGTTGTTGCTGTTGTTGTTCTTGTTGCTGTTGTTCTTGGAAAAAACTCTCACTACTGAGCAATAGCTATTGTTTATCCCCCCTCCGGTGACCATTGTGTTTTCTCAATTGAAGTGCTTCCCCCGGGCTTCGCATCATGTTTTCTATCAAGGAAAATCTTTCAGTTTAAGTCGGACGTGTCCCCCTACTGGGGGATTTTCAACGAAAAACAAGTGGCACGTGTGCCATGGCTCTTGCACAAAAAGGAAGGGGGAGGAGGAGGATGTGGAGGAGGAGGGGGGGGGAGAGGATGCCAGACATCGCAGAAGGAGTGAACACAACAGGGCCGCAAGAGGGGCTCCAGATGGCGAGCGCGAGGAGACTCCAAGGGCCGTCCCCCGCAAGATGGCTTCAAAGACCTTTGACGGGTTCCCAGGAAGCCTCCAACTGACGCCCGAGAAGCCTACAGAGGGTTCCAAGGGGAGGCCTCCAGGGTCCAAGGAGGGCGGAGGGGGCACTGGGCGGGCGCTGGAGCCGCGGGGGGGGCGCTGAGACGGCGCGGGGGAGGGGGCGGAGCGGGGGAGGGGGTGCGGTGCCGAAATAAAGTGGTCGGGGCGGAGGGGGCGCTGGGCGGGCGCTGGAGCCGCGGGGGAGGCGCTGAGACGGCGCGGGAGGAGGGGGCGGAGCGGGGGGGGGGGTGCGGTGCCGAAATAAAATGGTCGGGGCGGAGGGGGCCACTGGGCGGGCGCTGGAGCCGCGGGGGGGCGCTGAGACGGCGCGGGGGAGGGGGCGGAGCGGGGAGGGGTGCGGTGCCGAAATAAAGTGGTCGGGGCGGAGGGGGCACTGGGCGGGCGCTGGAGCCGCGCGGGGGCGCTGAGACGGCGCGGGGGAGGGGGCGGAGCGGGGGGGGGGTGCGGTGCCGAAATAAAGTGGTCGGGGCGGAGGGGGCACTGGGCGGGCGCTGGAGCCGCGGGGGGGGCGCTGAGACGGCGCGGGGGAGGGGGCGGAGCGGGGAGGGGGGTGCGGTGCCGAAATAAGTGGTCGGGGCGGAGGGGCGGACGGGACTGGGCGGGCGCTGGAGCCGCGGGGGGGCGCTGAGACGGCGCGGGGGCGGGGGGGCGGGGCGGGTGTGGGGGGGTGCGGTGCCGAAAATAAGTGGTCGGGGCGGAGGATGAAAGGGGGCACTGGGCGGGGCGCTAGTGCAGCGGAAGGGGGCGGCTGCTCGGCGCCGCGGGGCTGGGCGGAGGGGGGGGGGGTGGTTGTGGTGCCGAAATAAGTGGTCGGGGCGGAGGGGGCGACTGGCGGGCGTGGAGCCGCGGGGGGGCGCTGAGACGGCGCGGGGGAAGGGGCGGAGCAAGGGGGGGTGGTGCGGTGCCGAAATAAAGTGGTCGGGGCGGAGGGGGCACTGGGCGGGCGCCGGAGCCGCGCGGGGGCGCTGAGACGGCGCGGGGGAGGGGGCGGAGCGGGGAGGCGGGGTGCGGTGCCGAAATAAAGTGGTCGTGGCGGAGGGGGCACTGGGCGGGCGCTGGAGCCGCGCGGGGGCGCTGAGACGGCGCGGGGGAGGGGGCGGAGCGGGGAGGGGGGGTGCGGTGCCGAAATAAAGTGGTCGGGGCGGAGGAGGCACTGGGCGGGCGCTGGAGCCGCGGGGGGGCGCTGAGGCGGCGCGGGGGAGGGGGCGGAGCGGGGGGGGGGGCGGTGCCGAAATAAAGTGGTCGAGGCGGAGGGGGCGCTGGGCGGGCGCTGGAGCCGCGGGGGGGCGCTGAGACGGCGCGGGGGAGGGGGCGGAGCGGGGGGGGGTGCGGTGCCGAAATAAAGTGGTCGGGGCGGGGGGGGCACTGGGCGGGCGCTGGAGCCGCGGGAGGGCGCTGAGCGGCGCGGGGGTGAGCGGGCCGGAGCGGGGGGGGGGGGGCGGTGCCGAAATAAAGTGGTCGAGGCGGAGGGGGCACTGGGCGGGCGCTGGAGCCGCGGGGGGGCGCTGAGACGGCGCGGGGGAGGGGGCGGAGCGGGGGGGGGGTGCGGAGCCGAAGTAAAGTGGTCGGGGCGGAGGGGGCACTGGGCGGGCGCTGGAGCCGCGGGAGGGCGCTGAGACGGAGGGGGCGCATGATGATGATGATGTGGATGATGATGATGATGATGATGATGATGATGATGATGATGATGATGATGATGGTGATTATGATGGTGATGATGGTGAGGATGATGGTGCTGGTGCTGATGATGATGATGATGATGATGATGATGATGATGATGATGAAGGGGGGGTGCGGTGCCGAAATAAAGTGGTCGGAGCTCTAGACACCCTGTGCAAGAGAATAAAAGATACCTCAAACATGATCAAACAATAATCAAAAAATAGTCTGGGGACTTTTGTTAAAACATTTTTAAACTTTTTGGGGGGTATGTTTGGGGCACTGTCTATTTTTCGTCGAAAATCCCCTCTGTAGGGGGACACGCCCGACATAACACTAAGTTCAAACTGTGCCCCCGGCCCCCGGGTTCCAACAACAACGGCTCCCGCTTGAGACTTCCTCACAACTTAGCCACGACCCCCGCTCCCGCCTGAGAATTCCTTGTGTTTTACTCAGGCATCGCGCTATCGCTTGGGACTGCCTCAGAATTAATTAGGAATCGCTTCCTCGGCGCTCTGGAATCGCGCTCTCGCTGGAGAATCGCTGTCCATTTACTTCAGAATCGCGCTCTTGCGTTGGAGTTCCCTGCAAATGGCTCAAACGCCGCGCTCCCGACACTCACGCACCCAAGAGTCGCGCTCTGGCTCGGGCCTTCCTCACAGCTTACTTAGGAATCAGGATCTCGCTGCCTTTCGTGACCCCGTTGCAGCCCTTCGTGGCCCCCTCGCTGCCCGTCGTGGCCCCATTGCAGCCCTCCGTGGCCCCCTCGCTGCCCTTCGTGGCCCCGTTGCAGCCTTTCGCAGCCCCCTCGCTGCCCGTCGTGGCCCCGTTGTAACCCTTCGTGGCCCCCTCGCTGCCCGTCGTGGCCCCGGTGCAGCCCTTCGTGGCCCCCTCGCTGCCATTCGTGGCCCCGTTGCAGCCCTTCGTGGCCCCCTCGCTGCCCTTCGTGACCCCGTTGCAGCCCTTCGTGGCCCCCTCGCTGCCCGTCGTGGCCCCGTTGCAGCCTTTCGTGGCCCCCTCGCTGCACGTCGTGGCCCCGTTGCAGCCCTTCGTGGCGCCATCGCTGCCCTACATGGCCCCATATGTGCATGCCCTTTGTGGCCCCCGCTCGTTCGCGCCCGTCGTGGTCCCATATACATGCTCTTCGTGGCCCCGCTGTCGCCTGCCCTACGTGGCCCCGTTGCTGCCCTCAGTGGCCCCGTCCTTGCCCTCAGTGGCCCAATATACGCATGCCCTTCGTGGCCCCCGCTCGTTCGCGCCCGTCGTGGCCCCATGTGCATGCCCTGCGTGGCCCCGCTGTCGCCTTTTGTGGCCCCCTCGCTGCCCTACGTGGCCCCGTTGCTGCCCTCAGTGGCCCCGTCCTTGCCCTCTGTGGCCCTCCATTATCTGCCTTTCGTGGCCCCCGCTCGTTCGCGCCCTTCGTGGCCCCATACGCATGCTCTTTGTGGCCCCGCTGTCGCCCTTCGTGGCCCCATTACTGCCCTTCGTGGCCCCGCTGTCGCTCTCGCTCTCGCTCTCGCTTTCGCTCGTCATTGTCGTCGTCGTCGTCGGCGTCGTCGTCGTGGTCGGTTCCCTGTCCGTCCCTCTTGGGGTCGGGTTGCCGCCGATCAGCGTTGCCGCTGGCCAGGCCAGCGGTCCGCGGCCCCCCCGCCGCTTGTCGGGGCCCGACCTGCAAGGAAGGAAGATATCATCCCCAAAAGGGGTACGATCGAAGCCGAAGAGGGCGGGTATCGAGGGTTGGGGAAATACACATTGGATGACACTCGAGCAGATAAGAGCGAATAGTCTTAAGACGATTGTTGTCGTTGTTGTTGTCGTTGTCGTTGTCGTTGTTGCTGCTGCTGCTGTTGTTGTTGTTGTTGTTGTTGGTGTTCTTGGTGTTGCTT